TTTTTTTTAAAGAAAGGCTATGCGAAAAAAGGCAAGAAATTTCTGATTTCGTAAAAAAATACGATTTCTTGAAGTAAAAATTGTTGCTGAAAATGTCCACTAATGACCTTAACTGAGAAGCGAGTTACTATTTGTGACTACATACATATGGCTAGCTCGCACTCATGAAATTCTGCGGAATAATGGCACTGTACTTTGTGGGTTAATGAAACATGCCAAATTATAATTTATTTACTCCATAAACATATGACAATTTTAGCAATAATACAATAGCATACACAAGGCTAGTTCTACTTTGTCTCACATGTTCGATTCAGTATTAGCAAAAAACCAAAGCTAGTGCCACCAAAAGGTTGATAGTGAAGGTGAATCCTGCAATAAAGCTCATGAATTCAAAAATGTAACTTATTATCACCGTATTGTGCTTGAATTGCTCCAGTTCCTACCTAGAAGTGAAGTAGAGTGTTGTCCGGGAACCTTCGTTGTTGTTTCTTTTGTTGACTTTGTTGTTGACATTTCAATCGTTGTCCTTGTTGGTGACGGAGCTAACCATTTATCAATATTTTCTTCTATAACTTTTCGAGCTCTGATTAGTTCAGGTGAATCTTCATCTCTTGGTGGGTACATTTCTGCGCAGTGGGCCGTACCTCAAACAAGATATTCTTCTGGTGAATGTCGCTTGAAAACAATCCTACAATGATACAATCTAACCTTTTATTAAATAAGGAACCACTGAAGGGTGATTAGATGTGCGTATTCCGAGTACATGCCAAGGATCAAGTGAGCCGTTTGGAATCACAACGTTTGTAACCTTCATACATACTTTGATGATAACAGCGACAATTTACATTTTTAATGAAATGCCTACGTTGTAGAAGTCCGCGCCACCGAATTGATAATTGACTCTATCGATGCTTTTTTGAAGTACTGCCGTTGTGTAATTTTTGCCAAATAAATCGGTGCACATGTGAGTGTAGAGACTGGTAATTACTTAGTATTACATCGAATTACAGGAAGACTTGAAAGTTTTTTGGAAGCTTGAGTTACAAATGGTAAAGTTGTTGTGATCAGCCGTATGTGAAGTACGTCTTTAAACAGCGGTAAGAATGACATACGTTAGCATACGAACGAAGATGATAGCCAGGATGGAGAGTGGAAGGGGAGAGGGGGAGGGGGGGGGGGGGGGGGGGGG